GGTGGGCCACTTAAAAGTTCCACCCCCCCTTATCTTCGTTATTCATTAAGATATCGGAATAATTTTTTGTTTGTTTGAAAGACTGAAATAAATACTTTCTTACGATGGATTCAATTGTTCTGTCATGGCTTACTTCCAGTTTTTCCGGAAATAACAGAAAATCGCAATTTATTTTTTATTTTTTTAATTGAAACCCATTTTTTTTATTGTAAATTTCTGGAATATTTTTGTATAATAATCGTGTATTATAAATGGCCGCCATTTTTTCTAAACATGTTACTATTAATTCGTTTATGGAACAAAATATAGGCAAAATATAGGAGTGTATGATCCTTATAAAATCTTTGTTATCTTCAAAATTCCCATTCAGGCCCATTTACCGTACACCAGTGGCGTATCTAAGCATTTTTATTATTAGCAAACCATTTAATAATTCCATCTGCTTTTACCTTCGTTGTTAATTGAGATATCGGAATGAAAACTTGTTTTTTAAGCATTTGAAATTCTTTCATAGACTAGATCCAATTGATCTATGACGTCATGGTCTACTTCCGATTTTTCCGGATATAACTGAAAATCGCAATTTATTTTTTAAATTAAAATCTAAACCCCTTTTGTATTAAAAATTTAAATTTTTGGGAAAATATTGTAGAAGAAGCGTATATTGAAAATTTTCTGTCAGCTGTCAAAATAGCCGCCATATTGGATAATATTTTTTCTAAACATGTTAGTATTAATTCGTTTATGGAAAAAAAATATGAGAATGTATGATCTTTATAAAATTATTATAAGCTTTAAAATTCCAATTGAGACCCACTTACAGTACACCAGTGGCGTATCTTAGCATTTTTATTATTAGTAAACCGTTTAATAATTCCATCCGCTTGTGTCTTCGTTGTAAATTGAAATATTGGAACAAAAACTTTTTTGTTTTAAAGCTTGGAACAAATACTGTTATATACTGGATTAAATTAATCTGTGACGTCATGTCTTACTTCCAGTTTTTCGGAAATAACAAAAAATCTCAATTTATTTTTATTTTTAAAAAGTAACCCCCTTTTCTATTAAAAATTTGAAGTTTAGTTACATTTATGGATAAGAGTCTTGTGTTGAAAATTTTCTGTCAGCTGTCAAAATAACCGTCATATTGGATAATATATTTTTTAATATATTACTATTAATTCGTTTATGGAAAAAAATATGCGAATGTTTAACATTTTTGTAAGCTTTAAAGTTCCCTTTAAGACCCATTTACAGTGTACCAGAGGCGCATCTAAGATTTTTGTTATTGCAAACCGTTTAATATTCTTATCAGCTCTTATCTTCCTTATTAATTGAGATAGCGGAATGAAAACTTTTTTGTTTGAAAGCATGGAATACATAATGCCAAATACTTGCTTCAACTGGTCTGTGACATGGATTACTTCCGGTTTTTTGAAAATAACAGTAAATCGCAATTTATTAGTAGTTTTTAAATAGAAACCCAATCCAATACTTAGAACATACATAGTCAGGAAGGAGCATGCCATGTTCGCGTTAATCTAATCGATCTGATGGAAGTGGTAGCCATGTTGTACTATGGATGACTTATTATGATAAATGGTTTCTAAAATTGGTTTTTAATTTTAGTGATTAAAATTTGTTAATAATTTGGATGTTTTATGTGATAATTTAAACTTTTATCGAGCGTTTGTTTTGTAGACATTTTTAAAAAGTACTTAGTGTTTTAGTATTTATTTAGTATTACTGTTAATTTCAAATTTTCCGCGTTAAAAGAAAAACAAGACAATATGGTCAGTTGTTCGTCTTGTGGATATAGCAGCACAGCTAAAAGTAGAAAGGAATAATCTACATTTCATAAGCAAGTATTTTGTTCTCTCAATTTTTAACCACATTAAATATTTTTAAATTTTTAATGTTTTAAATTTGTAAACAAACATGGTTAGTGCGTCAACTATGCTCTTAGGCGTAGTCTCATGGTTTTTTGGGTATAAATACTTTTATTTAAACAATTCTTTTATACAATTTTAAAATATTTATGTGGTTGTTAAAATGAATAAATAATTGTTCAATTTAGATTTATAAATTAATTGCAAGTAAACAATTTTAAGATTTCTTAAAGATTCTAGATTTACAAATTACTAAAGACTTCCTAAAGATTCTCAAAAAACAAAGTTATGGCTTGAGTTCATGCAACAAACAAATTGTAAGCCAAAATATCTTAATTTTTTTATGTTAACCCATTTTAAAGCAGATTATTTTGATCGAACTTCAAAACCAAGAATAAGACTTCTACCAACAGCTGTTCCAACAATAAAAGTGGTCCGGTTGAAGTATATAAGCAAATACATTCTTTACTAACTATATCATGTGCCGGTTTTTTCGTATAATACAAGTTTATTGTATGAATGTGATGCACCCTATATAATTTATGACAAAGGTATTTACAAAAACGAACACAAATAGAATTAATAATATCTCAAGTAAGGAAATAAGTAGCATATCGCATGCCATAAGATACTGTCTTAGGTCCTATCTTCTTTAATTTTATTTTAAATAATTTAACGTTTAAATATAGATGAAAATATTTGTTCTGTTTTTTAGACGACACAATTATTCTGTAAAATACAAAGAACTGGAATTTATTAAAATTATTAACAGAAACAGATATTATAAAACTTTTCGAATGGTTAAATTATAAAAACTTACAAACCTTTGATAAAACTTATGTTGTTCCATTATACAGTTACAAAAAGATGGTATCTTCCTATAGAAACAATAAAAGGTAACGTTCAGTAGTTTCATATAAGTATTACAAATGATATCAAATACCTTATAGTACAAATTGACTCTCATCATAACTGGACTAAGCATACAAATAACGCGTTGAATGTACATTTAAAAATAATCTATTTTGCACTCATAGAATCATTATTACGTTATAAGATAATTTCTTTAAAAGGTGTTTTACCTGCTTATGTAAAATTGTACTGTAAAAAATATTACTAATAATATTATGTAATAAAATGATCAAAAATTATCTTCGATATTAGGAAGTTTTATATGTATTCCAAAAAAACATTTAAGAAATATATATCACAGCGGTTTGACTTAAATATAAGTGTAGGATATTTAATTTTTTTTAGCGCATATCTACAAATAATTTATTTTTCAAACCTTAATAATTTTAAAAATGAAGATTAATGAAGACATTGTCATAATAAAGACGTAAAAAAGTCAATATTTTTTTAAATACATTATTGCTTTGATTTTTCAAATGAAATCCCTCTATATATTATCCCAAAAATATTTTCCTATATTTATCTTACCCAACATGCAATTTTAAAGTAAAATTTATTTACATAATGAAGGTTAATAAAAAAAAATGCAAACTTCTTGCTAAAAAATAGCAATTCGTTAAAATGAGAGAAATCGGTAAATTTAGATAATATGCAAATGAGAATTTATTATTTTCTTTTCTACGCCTCTTTGTGACAGTTCGTTACTGGTAGACCGGAAACAGTTGCGCCATATTTGTCTAGTTCACTGTCAAAATTAGATACCATCGCGATTCCAAGGTCGTTTAGGATTCCTCCTTCCTGACTATATATATTCAAAAATTCCTGCCTTCTCGCTAACCTAACTTTTTCTACGTTTTTCATGGTCTGTTATATTCGAGACCAACTATCAAAGTGGCCTTTTACTTAAAGGCACATTTATTAAAAATAGCCTTTTACATAAAATACAGTTTTCTAACAAACAAATTGCTTCAAATTTAGGTAAATTAAAATATTCAAATCATAGATACAAACTTTCTAGTTTCAACAAAAAAAAAATATATAATAAATTTGGCATTCTAAAAAAGAAAATTGAATTAAAAACGGTAATTTAACGTTACGCTTGATTCCGGCCTGAAGAAAACTGAGTTAAAGGATAAGTGGCGAGCAGAAAAATAAGAAAATAGATAATTAGAAAGACGACAGGCTTTGTTTTACAAATGTGAGAACAATAAGAAGAAGCTTCAAGAGGCAACCGGTCGCATAATTGAGAGACTTTTATAGACTAAAGTGTTTATTATTTTTAAAGAAATACTAGAAAGTACTGCAACATTGTTCCATGGTTGTTGTGGGTGTATATATTTCGTGTCAATCCAATAGAATATTCGTAGAAAAAGTATGACTTCTTATAATATATCTTTGTGGTTTAACAATAAATGGGATAAATCCGATTGTAATTCTAATTCTGACAGCAACTTCTTCCACATTCCATAAATAAACAACAAGAAAGTTTAAGATGAAAAAAGAGTAGATAAGAGTAAAGTAACGCTGCATTATTAATCCGGATGCTATCCTTTGGCAGTCCGGGATTTACGGAAAGTTAATGACGTATTTATTTATAGAAATGTAACCATCCTACACTGTCAGAAATTACCGTTGTTTCCTTGTCCTTTTTTCTGTGAAAAAGGTTCAACATAAAATATCTGCTATATTTTTGTATAAGAGATAAAAACGGTATTAAGCTTTTCCCATATTTTAAAACTTTATTTATAAAAACTGTAGTGTATAAGAAAGAACCTGCAGAATAAATCAAAGTACTTATTCTAAAATAAAAACTGTAAAAATAAAATAAAAACATTTAACAAATAAAGCCGACCACACACGTTAATACTACATTTATAAGTAAAAATAAATTATGAATTCGGATCAATTTGATTGAAATAAAAAGTTTTAAAAGTGAATTAAAAAATTCAATTGAAGCGTCTGAAACTGGATTAAGATTATACATAGAAGGCCATAAGAGATTAATACACGAGCTTAAAAACGAAAACTAGGTTTTAAAATACAAATTGAAACACTAAAACAACAAAAAAGAGAAAATAGCATTATTATATTTGGAGCTAATAAATCTACTAAAATAATTAACGTGCAAGAAGTTTGTCAACTAATACAACAACTAGTAGGAGTAACTCTGGGAACACATGAAATAAATAATTTTTATAGTTTGGGAAAATCAGCTGATAGCCCGATTAAAATTGATTTTACCAGTTATTTAAAAAAGAGAAAAGTCCTGGCTAATTGTAAGAAACTCAAAGGAACATCAATCAGCATAACACACGATTTAACAACGAGACAAAGAGAAGGACGACAAATCCTAAGAAAAGCTTTGTTTGAAGAACGGAAAAATGGGAACTACACGAAGTGCTATATCAAAGGAAACAAACTTGTCCTAGATGAAAACCAATACAGTGTAGAAGACTTAATAGGCGAGGACAATAAAGAAAACTCATTTAAACAGATCCAACAAACGTGTAGAGCACCTTCCACTCCTTCTCGTATACTAGAAAATTCGTTAGGTGAATTAAACGTAGATCAAGAAGAGGAAGAAAAAGAAAGAAAACAAATCGAAGATGAAATAAAGAAGTCGGAAAATTTGCGCTTAAGGAAAAGTTCCACCTCTCACAATTACAATAAATAAGTATAAATTTACATCTCGATTTTTTTGTATCAGTTTTTGTATTCGTTTAAAAGAAAAAATTACATTTATATTTTCAATTTAAATTTTATATCTGTATTTTAAATAGTTTTATAGTTATTAATTATTATTTAGGTTGACAAGCTTGTTAGATAAAGGTTTCGTATTCTCATCTTATCTACTGGTATTTCATAATAAAATATCAAATGGATAATTACCTAAAAGAATTCGAATAAAAAGACATAGAAACATATGAAATAGAAAATTCAAACGAATATATAAAATTTACAGAACAAAAAACAAAATAACTTAATGACAGTGAAAATATAAAACTATTTTATTCCAACGCAAGAAGCTTAAATAAAAATAAGGATGAATTTACAATACTCCTGCACTCTTTGGCTCATGACTTTGATTGTATAGTGTTCACAGAAACTTCGCAATTGGTAGATCCAGGCTTGTAGAGTTTAAACGGTTATAAACAAATATACAATGAGGGTAATATTTCAAAATGATGGTATATTAGTATTTGTAAATGAAAAAATATCCTTTAAATATCAATTAGTTTTAATTGGAAAAATAAACAGTGTCCAATTGACATTAACAAAAAATATAATATTAAATTATCAGGTATCTATAGAAGTTTAGCTGATTCTATAAATACATTTATAACCAATTTACACTCATATTTAACAGGATATGACAAAATGGCGGATACAGATATTATATTAGGAGATTTTGACATAAATATTTTAGGAAATAATATAACTATAAACTATTTAAACAATATCTTCCTTTGGATTTATGTCAACAATAAATAAACCCACTATAGGAATAGAAATTGCCTAGATCACATTTTCCTTAGAAGTAAAATTACTGATCTCATATATGTACCAATAATTTTAGGAACACAAGTAACAGACCATAAGCCAACTTTACTAAATATTTCTTTCCCAAAATAAAAAAAATTAGAATTGAATAATGAGCAATACAAATATAATATAAATTTTAGTAAACTCCAGAGAATGTTACACGTTAAAAACTGGAACAAAATATATTTAACTAAAAATCCTGATGAAACCATAGACAATTTTTTAACAATTTTAGAAAACCACATTAAAATTTGTATAAATAAAATTAAAATTAAAACAGAAACGTTAGAAAAAGATTGGATTACTGAAGGTCTATTGAACTCAATTCAAGAAAAAACAAACTTTTTAAACATATGCAAACATATCCAACTGAAATAAACAAGCAAAGGTATAAAAAGTACAGAAATAAATTATATAAAATGATTAAGTTGTCGAAACAAAAATATTACCAAGAAAAAATTGGAGTTAATAAAAAAGATACCAACAAACTGGGAATGTGTAAAAGAAATTTGCAACCAAAAGAAAGAACAGGAAAAAATTTCCAAGATACATTCGGACACGGGTGATTTATTAACTACTGAAATACAAATAGAAGAGAGGTTTAATGAATTCTTTAAAAGCGTTGGTAAAACTTTAGCCACAAAAATAAAAAAAAATACTTTAAATAAACATAATACCATGACTTAAAAAAATTCACTTTTCTTTCCTGCAACTACTGAGATGAAAGTAAAAAATATAATCTTAAGTTTAAAAGACAAAACTCCGGGCATAGATAATACCAAGACAGAAACATTAAAAAAAGTTGTCAATGAAATTTCGTCTGTTCTAAGTTACATAATTAATTTAACAATGAAGAAAGGTATAATTCCTAAAACTCTAAAAACTGCAGTTATTAAACCAATTTATAAAAAATGCCGTCAAACATAGGTGACTAATTTCCATTCTATTTTTCTTATCTCCAACTTAGTAAAAATATTCGAAAAAGTGTACAAAAAAAAGAATGGTATCTTATCTAGACAAATATGACATTTTATCGCAAAAACAGTACAGCTTCCGCAAACATAAATCTACTGAAGACGCTGTGGTCCATTTAACAACAAATACAGTGAGCATCTTAAGTCTTACCCCCCCTAACTAACTCGTTACTGGGGTCTTGTTAGGAAAATCGCCGAGACAGGTCGATTTTTAATTTCTACAATGTACATTTTTGCAGAATTAGTTAACCCTTAATTTCATCCCTTACTGGAGGGTAGCAACCCTTTCGAAAAATTTAAATGGCATGGGGTGGTGAGTAATAGCTCATTTTAAAAGGAGTTTTATTCACTATTTAACCGTGCAAAAAAATTTTGAAATTTGCATCATTACATGTTGATTTATTAATGTTTAAAAATAACAAAACCTCAAAAAATAGGAAAGCAACTAGACTAACAGTGACCTTCTAATGGCAAAAAGTCTATTATCTACATTCTTTTATATTTATTTTACTACTTAATTGTTCGTGCGGTAAATAATACAAAATGGATTGCACACTAATCCACCTTCAAGGCTTAGCCTTTTGTGGAAATGTCAATTTTATTTACCTGTATTTTTTATATATTTATTGTATTTTGTCAATTGAAAATGTATTTTTAACAAACCGATGTACTTTCTTATGGTAAATAATAATAATAATTATTATATACTGTATAGCTAAAACATTCTCAAACAACAATACAACTTAAAAATAATAAAACTAAAAATAAATTATTTTTCTTGCATGAAGTAGCAGTTCTAACCGATCGAGTCCCCCAATCAGAAACTAAATAAGTTTTTGATATCAACAGTGTAAAATAAATTAGGAACTAGAATAAGTATATATAATGATTGGCATTTTTAATACTCTTCACAGAACCACTTAACCCCCATTTCTCATAAGATATTTATCAGAATAAATATGATTCATCCTTTTATAAAGCTTAATTTTTTCTGAAGATATCTGTCAATTTGATATTTTTTTCTTTTACTGACTTTGGATTTCTTTAAATATTTTAAACCCCACTTATCTCTTCATATTTATTTATTTATTACCTTATAGAGCTCAATTTTTAACAAACATTTCATGTTGATATTGCTTTTGGTTTCTGATTTTTATTTTTTTTATTTCAACCCCGCTTGACCCCTTTCTCTATCCAGATTTTTAAAATCAATAGCCATGTTTTTTGCCAAAAATTTTAAGTTGATATTATTGTTTCTTTTTGAGTTAGGATTTTTTTGAGTTTATCAACTCCCATTAAGTTTTTATTCAAATTATTTTCAGATTCAATAGGCTTCATCTCCTTATAGATCTTGATTTTTATTAAAAATTTTATGTTGATATCGCTTTTCGGTTTACATTATGATTTTTTTTTTTTAATTTCAACCCTTCCTAAACCCCCATTTTTATTAAGATTTTCTTAAACCATGGGCTTTGTCTCCTTATAGAGCTTGATTTTTGCAAAATATCTAGTTGATATAATTTTTCGTTTTTAAGTTAGGATTTTTTTATATTTTGACCCTCTCTTAACCATCCAATTTATTTAGATTTTATTAGAATCAGTAGATTTTATATTTTTACAAAACTTGATTATTACTAAAAATTTCATGTCGCTTTTCGTTTTCGATTTATATATATTTTTTTTAATTTCAACCGCCTATTTATATAAGATTTATATTAAAATCAATAGTCTTTGTTTCCTTATATAACAGGTAATTAACTTTCAGCTGAAGTTGTTTATTAACACAAACTTTATCTCTATTCTTAGTGGCTTTGTTCCGACTTTACACAAATAAGGTATGTATGAATTGTCCTGTACTTCTTGCAAAGCTGTCTAAGTAGGCCAGAGCGGTCGAAGAGTTGAAAACCGCTTACAAGAACACAACAAATTGATTAATTATTACAACGACTTGGACATTGATACTACTTCCTCATCTTTTGTGAATCATGTCCTCCAAGAAAAACACTTTGCTTCTTTCTCAGACTTTAAACTTTTACACTATTGCAATAAAGGTATTCGCATGGATGAGGAAATAGTATCAATGTGCGAGTCTTTGTAGTTATCAATCAATTTCATGTGTTCCTAAAAGCAGTTTTCAACTTTACGACTGCTCTGGCTTACGTAGACAGCTTTGCAAGAAGTACAGGACAATTCATATATACCCGATTTGTGTAGAGTCGGAACAAAGCCACCAAGAATAGAGATAAAGTTTGTGTTAATGAACAACTTCAGCGGAAAGTGAATTACCTGTTCCTTTCCGTCCTAGATGTCAAAGTTCCTTGAGAGTCTGTTTTGCTTTGTAATTGCCTCATTGAATATTATATTATCTTCTTATTCAAGTACAATATTCATTCTTAGTCCCTATTTCATCTTGTTAATCCATTTACTTTTTATATTTATTTTAGATTATTTTTATTAGCTGTCAGAAACACGGTAGTGTCATTAATGTCAAATTTCTTTACTTTCCTTAACTAACTTAGTGGTCTCCACTTTGTTGATCACACAGTCAGCTACTGTTCACTTCTATTTTAATTTTTACTTATGCCCCTTACTGCAGGATGTTGTTCTTGTACTCACCTACTTATCTTTTATGTACAGTCTCTTAATTTTCTTCAACTGAGTTTTTTATTATCACTTTATATAAAGAAATAACTATTTGTAAAACAATATTTTATTAATTTTTATTAAATTTAATCTTATAATTTGCTGATCATATGCGTAGGCGCCATTTTCCTATCCACCATCTTGTTTACCGTAATATCAATAATATCAGATGAAGTTTGTTAAATCACGGAGTACCTACTTCTTTAATTGTTTACTTGAGCGTTACGTTCAGATAAAGTGGCTTTTAGTGATCATATTCTGGCTAAATGCTATCTACCATCGATCATGTTGGCTCTGATCCTAGTAGTACCTCCATCTCTACTAATGGACAATTTAAATTGTCTATTAAGAAGGTCCTAAGCTTAATAATTATTGCATAGTGATTCATCTAATATCCTATCTTTCCTAATTTATGGAATATTTGACTTAGATTTCTTCGACCTACTAGCTATATGCCAACTTTTTACACCCTTCTCTCCACGATCACTTTTTAAATCATGAATCTGCTTTGCTA